AGCTAGGACTTTTACCGATAGGGTAATGAATCAAGAGGAAGATGTCCCAACAGAGAGTCTCTGGTATGGTGAAAATTCCAGACTGACTTGTGAGGAAGTAGTGGATGATTGTGAAAGGGTCAGGGCACATGCAAAGCTTCACAGGTATTTCGAGATGTACTTAAAGATGCATGAAAGTCAATTTGCTGCTGGTAGCTCAGAAATAAGTAAGAATCCAGCCTCTAATACTAGGACAGCTGTGCTTCTTCCATTTAGTTACACATCAGAAACAATGACTACAACTATTGACACAGACCAGATAATCTAAGAAAAAGATCAGCAAAACTGCAGTTGATGAAGTTCAATATATGAAAGTACAAGGTGGCTTGACTTTGAATTTTCAGAAAGGTTTTGGCAATTTTTTCTGAAAGCTGTCAGAGCTAAATTGATTCTTCTCATGTATTTCTTTTCTTCCCACTGTGTACTTGTGTGGATGTGTTACAACATGCTGGTTTTATCCTCAAGAACTGCTTATTCCTCTTTCCATTTCCTCCTCAAAGCTTAATGTGGGAGGTAGGAAAAAAAAGACAGAACGTCTGCATTTCTAACAGTTCCCTGTTTTATTGCAGTACATCAAAGTAGGTTAATATTAAGTGTGTTACCAACATAAAATATTGGTGGTAAGTCATTTTTACATTGTTGACTTTTCCACCTTAAATATTTCTGTGCAAAAGAATCTACATCATTGTTCTGTAGCAGAGAATCTCTTACAATGTGTCCCCTACAACATTGAGGGCATTAAACAAAACAGTGAGAAGAGGCAAAAAGCAGAATCTTTCCCCCACACGCACACTTGTCAGCTTTTATACTCTAAAACAAAAAAGTGATTACATCTATGCCATGCAAAACTGTACAATAATATTACAATGAAAAAACCTAAAAAACATATTTTAAAAATAAATGATATGAAACTGTCATACATAAAAAGGCAGGTATAGTTGCTCTGAAACACCAACACTGGTTTGTTTGTGGATTTCTTCCCTGTGGATGAGACTTTCTTAAATGCAGAATGAAAATAGGTTGTATTGAGCTGCGCGGCTGGAATGAAAGACAAAATAGAGTTGGAATTTAGACTGGAAAGCCTGCAGCAGAGCGGTTTCTGGGGGTCTTTATCAAATACAGTGTGAACATAAAGCACATGGAAGGGTGCAGTTTGTGTTAGTGCAGAAGGTTGTCCCATTTCCTCCATGGAACTGAATCCCATTTAACAAAAAAAAAAAAAAATCACAGCAGAAGCTACCATGTGCCACTTTGATTTTTCAAACTAAGGCTCAGGAGGTGTGGGTACTTGCACTGCAATAAATTTTACCCTTAATGTATTCATTTAAAATTAAACAGCGTGCATAAAATGAGGAAAAACCCTTCTTCCACCCAAGAGCATGTTTGTTCTGTAATTCAGGGTCTGGCCTTGCAAGACAATATGGTGCCAGAATCTGTTTCTGTGTTAATACTCCACCTGTTCTGTTTCGAAAGGTTCACAGAGTGTGTCAGTCAGTCAGGTGCAGTTAAACTACATTTCTATAAACACACTATGCTTTTTGGACTTTTTTTGGTATGACAAAACTCTTAACTTCCCTCTGCCATATACCTGAGAATAACACACCTGGCTTGTAATTTTATCAGAATCAAATTAAAGAGATAACATTCCTGACTCAGCTTGGAAACTCATTAAAATGGGCAAGATGTACATTCATAACAAGCCACAGCAACTAACTGAGAGGAAAAGAATCAACTACTTCACCACAGCCTCAGGAATGTTTGGGGTTTTTTTGTGGGTTTGTTTGTTGTGTTTTTTTTTTTTTAAACCACCAGCTGTTTTCTACAGGTCAAAAGCAATAGAGAAGAGTACTATAACCCTGCTTTTGGGTTTATGAAATGTGGAAGGAAGCCACATATCTGTGTGCGCACACGTGTAGGGGAAAACTATTTACCAAACCTTTTTCATTCTATAACCTGGAATCCTTAGTAGCTGCCTGAATCTGTTCAGATCCTTTGTTGCCATCAAAAGAGGAACAAAAAAAAATAAATGCAAAAACCCAACGACCCATATGTTTAAGCAGTGTCAAAAATGCAAACACCTTCAGGCTCAGCCAAAAGGAAAAAATCAGCTAGATCCCTACTGTGTACAGAGAACATATGCTACAGTCAAAAATTCAATGGGAGACTTTAAGCTCCCTGAACAAAACACAGCCCTCTAACTGTGAAGTTGAAGCGATGCTACAGTGCAAGGTAGCAAACATCAAACCTTAAGAGACAACTGTCTTTGAGATACCAGTCAAGAGTCTTACAGTTCAAATGACCAAGTTACTTTTCCTAGCCCAAAGAGTATTTAAAAAGCTCAGCTACAGTATGCCTGTGTTTTCAGTGTTCATACCAACAAAAAAAGATGAGTGTGGTTTAAAATTGAGTGTATAATCAAATGGTCCCCCATTTTCTTCTTTTCAAATAAGTGATGTGGTCATTTGCTTTTCAACTGAGAGAACAGTTGCTGTTTCTCTTTTGAACAGATGTGTATAAAAATGCACAGTACCAAACTAATGATTAAATATAATAATCCTAAAGGAGACTGACAAGGCTTAGAAATTGTGGTGTACAAACAGCGTAGGCCTGTGGAGCTCTCGTCCTCTGGAGTTTAGTTTTGTCACACAGCTGACCTACACTCTGCCTGAAAATGTCAGGGTTTTTTATCAATAGATTGCGGACACCGTAATGCAGTAAACATAGGGGTTTACTCGATTTAATCGTTTGCTGTGTTGTGGCTCTTTCTTTGGGATCCATTTTCAGATAGAGCATTAGCTCAACTGCAAAAAAAAAAAAAAAATCCACAAAAAAGATCCTGTGACCTTCTCTCAGGGGACTATCACGCAAGCTCCTCTGTCTTACATGACTGCTATTTAAATGCCTTCTCTCAACATCAAAATAAGATTAATGTTTAAATACAACATACAGTAAATACAAAACTAGTCTGCGAAGGCTTTGGAAAGTGCGTGGACATGCTTCACCAAAAGGAGGGAATTGTGGGGAAAAGCAGTGGCTATAGTTGAAGCAATACGCAGCCTTTAAAAAAGAAGCTGATGTGGAATTTTAATAATGCCAATAATGCCCTGCCTGTCTGTCTCTCAGAAAGACTGAAAACTTTTCTGGGAGGAATTAATGTCAAGTGCTTAGCTGTTTGCTAAAGCTTGTCATATTAAATGCCAGGCTTGCAAAAGTAGTAGCTTTGAAGTGAAAACAAACTACACACCAGCTTGCTACTCTGAAAAACCCAAACAGGAGAGACAGGCTTTTGATATGATGGTTTCTAAAAAAATTTCTTGAAGTCCTGTCCCAAAATAACATTGAATGAGCTTCAACTTGGACAAGCCTCTTGATTCAGAGTGAAAGAGAAATCTGACCTAGGAGACCCAGCGTGATTAAATGGATTAGATTATCCATGTCTCCTTCCCTATTTCACATTTAAATCATACCTGGAAATTACTCTACATGGTTTGAAGTTACCTATGACTTCTATTAAGGAAGACAGAAACTGGAAAACTCCAAACATGTCTGCCTGGGTGAGCTCTACATACTGCTGACTGCAAGAATACGGAATGGTTTATTAAGAGCTGTTAACAAGTTTCTGAAACCCACAAAACCCAGTATTCTAAATACAAAAAGCCCTTACGTGTTTGAGTATGGTCATAGTATAAAGCCAGCAACAATACTACTGAGGAGAGAGGCTCATTTGAACGCACTCCCAAATGAAAAACACTTCTGCCTTGTTAACTAAAGAGAAGAGATACCTTCCTCTTACCATCCGTTTGTACATCAGTCTCTCACTTTATTCTGTTGACTGTATGACCAGCTTCAGCTTTTTATTTATTTTTTGCAACTTCAGGGGGCTCTGTCTTCCACCGCAATGCTTTCTGCCCTCCAACCTGACCTGCTATTGGAACCAAACAGCAGGTGAGCACGTAGAAACAACTGCAAATTGCACAAACCCACAGCACGAGTAGGGAGGGAGAGGAAAACCAACCTTGCCAGGCAGTTGTGGGTGACTAGGCATCTTCGACTACCACAGTGTGAACAGTGTGAGGTCAGTCTTCAAGGTTCTTTGTTGCTACAGTGATAGCGTAGCCAGCCAGGGCTAGCTTTGGGCTAAGGGCACTCATTTGGCTGATGTGCATTAGCAACTAGTATTTGGTAACAACAGTAACAGTTTTCTGGTTAGGGATGGTCGAGGAGATGGGAAAGACTGCTCCCTTCCAAGTTAAAACCTGGCCAAAGGCTGACCCAAGGAAACAGTTTTCCTG